AATTGGCTTTTTTATTTTATATTTTATTTTATATTATATGTTCTTTAAAATATTTGAATTTTTTGAAAATTACAATGAATGCAATTTGTAATTCAGATAAAATAGTAATCTTTTAGTTAATGGTTCAAGAAGAAACTGATTTTTCAGTGAAAAAATTTTGAAGGTTAATAACTAAAAATGACGGAATATTTGAAAAAAAGTCTATTGCAACAATTTTGTAGATATCAAAAATCATCACAATATTTTCAATTTTTTCAATCTCTCATGAAAAAGTGGTGACACCAAAATATCGACATCATTCCTCGATTATAGGTTTATTCCTTCCGAAAGTAAACTTCAATATCGGCGCTTCGAGTTGAGCTGTGCTGTTCTACTCTCCTTCGTTTTATCCGTTACGCTTTCATTAAAAATAAGAGGTTTCAAAGAATTGTTATCGGATTCGAAAAATAGGACATATTTTAGTGGAACAAAATACATTGAATTCATTGAATTATTTTGAAATTATGAGGTTTTAAAGAAGATTAATAGAATTGTGGAAGTACAAAGGCTTTCAGCGATATCTGAGGAAATTACAAGAATGTTGGGAATTAAAGTTATAAGAGAAGTTTGAAGATGATATTGATACTAGCAAAATAGTACACCGACTTCTGTAGAGCCTTAGCTGAGTTTTGAAGAATTTTTACTATTTTCGAGTTGTCAAGCAGCAGATTTTGCTGAATCAGAGTGGATTTTACGGCCGAATCGTGGTAAATTGAGAAAAAGAAAGGATTTTGAGAAATTCTAAAAGGATTTTTAAAAAATTTGAAGTTTGCATAATTTACGGTTTTGCATGGTACTGCTAAAAATGTAAGCGTAAAGCGTAAAACTCATTATAACACAAATATTTTAACAATATTTTAAAAGGAAATATAAATCAATGAGCGAAAGCGCTGTTGCGAAGATTCGCGATAAGAGGAAATTCCTAGGTGATTCTGGTGATTGCTCACCTATATTTCTATCACCAAGTGATTTCCTGGCAAAACTAGCTGAGAGAATGGTGATCGCTCGCTTAAAAGGCAACATTAACTGAAAATAATTAGAAGTGCTGCAATTTTTTTCACCGACGAAAAGCAATAGAAAGCAATAAAAATTCATTAAAAGATATCAGTACAGAAACTGCAAGCATAAACTGCAAAATAAATTACATGTGTTGCAAGGCAAAAAGCAAATATAAAAACATTGGCAGTAGAATAAAGCGAAAAATATTAAGTTCCAGTAAAAAATATAACTAAATTTTGAAAAAAAAGGTTATATTTTGTTGAGTAAGGAACTCCTATCATATATCTTTCGTTTCCATATCACTGAAGACTTCATATCATTGATAAAAAGATTTGAACAGTTTTGATCGAGATAGTAAAGAAAAAATTAAACTTGCATTTGAAAAATTCATTTAAAGCTAATTAACAATGGTTCATATTCGTAAAAGGTATTTTTTCTTTTTTTATTTATTCTCAATCGGAAAGATTTTCTTATCAATTGACATATCATAAATTTTTTTGCTATCACAAAAAAATTTATCATCAGGTTCTAAAATTTTATCATAAATCCTTCATTATTTTCTTGCTTTGTTTCTTGCTTTAGGTAAAACTGAAATCCTTTTCTACTACTAAATTCATTTAGATTTTGGATAAAATACTATTATTACTATCATTAAAATCTTTTTGCATTACACAGCTGGGTTTATTGAAAAAAAATTTTACTAAATATTAGCTTTAAATTCTTTAACTACCTCATATTTTATATGAATATTAAGCCAAAACGAGAAAAAAAAATAATTGAATCATAAATAATATGATAAAATTATGATAAAATATGATAAAAAAGAAAAAATATACCGAAATAAACTGAAAACCGCGATTAATATAATATTAAGTGAAATTAAAAATAATATTTATAATAAAAGAAGCAATAATAAAAAGCGTAATAAACGAGGTGTCCATTCAGTTTCCCCAAAAAATTTTAAAAGTGATTCTTTGCAAAAAATTCAATATTTCAAAATTACAATAAAATTATAAAAAAATTATAATATTAAATTGTTTAATTTAAAATTTATTATATATAATTGACAATAATAATATTATAACAAATGTAATAATGATTTATTTATTATATTTATTTATTTTTTTTAAAGAATAGCAATCATTGTTGATTAAACTCGCTCTATTGACTTGTCTTACTAGACAAATATGCTTTGGAGAGGCATACAGGTGAATAACTGAAATTACCAGGATTTTCGGACAGATTTATTGCTTCCGAAGATAGATGCTTCCAGCATCAGTGCTCCGACAACAACCCACTGAGCTATTCTACAATCCTTTGATCCGTTCGGCGATAGTGACGAAGAGTGGGTGTGGGCAGATTCAAGCTCAAGTCTTAATGATATAATAATATTTATAATTTAATTTCTATAAGTGATAATCCGTTTATTTTAATAGCCCCTTTTCAAAATTTGCTTGTTTACAGCTAACAAAATTTAATCGAAAAATAAAGAATTTAATCATTTTTTAGAATATATTTTTCATTTGAGTTTTCTATTAAATCATGGTAAATTTATATAAATTTAATTTTATTTAAATTATTATTATTTTATTTTAAATTTATTTAAAATAAGGCAAATGCAGAGCAGATATAATAGTGAAAGGAACCATAATGTTCCCTTAAAATCTGTTGCGTTCCCTTAAGGTGCAAATCCAAATTCTGATGTACGACTCTGACATTGGCCTTATCCTTAATTCTATTTCTCAACCGTATTCTCAAATTTTCCATTACTTTTGTTGTCACCTAAAAGTTATATTTTTTGCATTAAGCTAGGTAAAGATCATCGCGAAAGAATATAGCGTGGTACTAACGATTTAGATGAATTATAAATTCTTTATTTTTTTGCAACCTCGCTTTGTATAATTTGAAAATTAGCACGATTAGAAAGTTAATATTGTCATCTTAGAGCACTGATACTGGAATTCTTCTTACGCTAAGAGTTTAACTCGTCTTCCATATTATATGATGCTGGAAATTCGCTTGTACTTCCTCCTTCCCTGGCCATGTGGCTTTTTGAAAAAATTTACCAGACCGGACATAGAAGATTTTTAAAATCATGTGATAGTGTTATCATTATCTTATCAATCGCTTGAAAGGTTTTCCTGAGGAATTTTCTAATATTTTCGCGAAATTTCTAAAGTTTAAGCCAGAGAAGAAGAGAAACACATTTTTTAGATTTTGTTGCTGTTTATTTCAGTTATTTTAAATTATTCATGTTATTTTTTCTCTTTTTTTGGCTGCTGAAGGAGAACGATGTACATATAACCAATTTTTTTCATATTTTCTTTCATTATTCTTAATTTCCACTGAAAATACAAAACAAATAAAAAAAAATATATCTTTTATGGATTTTAAAAATTTAAAAAAAAGAAAAATCTTATTCTCAAATATTTAATGAAATATTCTCAGCGAAATTTTTCAACAATGCTTATTTGTACATTTTTTTTTGCTTTTATCACTCTATCAGTCAACGCTTATTTGCATAATCAAATATTTATTTCGATATGGAATAGAATGATAAATGAATTACGTTGCATTCCTATGCTTTTAATGAATAAAATACAGTTTAAGCATTAAAATAATTACTTTAAAATAATAAATTAAATAAACAAACAAATAAAATTATCATAAAAAATATAAAGGAATTGAATAGAAAATTTCAACATAAAAAGACAATTTTATATGAATTTTGCAATGGAATTAATGGAATGAAAAATAAGATAAAGCAATAAGCGAATTATTTTCATATTTGTGTAAAAAATAATAAATGAAAAATAAATGAAATTATAAATGAAAAATAGAAAAAAAATAAGGGAAAATATCAAATATCGTGAAATAAATAGGTAAATATAAATTTGCATTTATTACCAAAAAGCATATCACATAATCATCACAAAATTTTCTAGTAGGAATATTAAATTTTACAACGAAGATTCTTTTATGAAATTGTTTTTTTTAAAAAAAGCCTTCAATTTACCCGATATTTACAAAAACCTCCTCGAACCAGATAAACCTTCCTAAAACAATCACAGCTAGCTACTTTTTCTTTATTTCTCGTCTAACTTTAATTCATTCCTTCGCTGAACCACTCGCAATCTTCTAAAACTCAATTATATTGTAGTTTCACCCAACTTATTACATTTTCTTAACTTATTGGCTTCCAAGATATATTCGATTTTGTTAGCTGTGCACAATTGTTACATTCGTTTAACGCCCATAAAAGCTTTCTTAAAAGCAAGCCAAATTATTTTTTTTCTTTAAACAGCATCTTCGGATTTCAAAAATTCACTAGAATCTCTCTATTTGATTAATGATAAAAATAACAATCCATTATACGTTTTCAGGTTCGTTTATAGCCCTTAATATTATCGCAAATTACCAGAAACTCAGTCATATTTGCGGCCTCCTTATTAATATTCCTCAATGTCACATTGAATCTCGTTGAACCAATTTTCTTTATTTTTCATTTTTTGCATTTGTTAGATGAAAAACATTTTTTTCAAAACAATTTTTCTTGTCCCTTGTTAAGATGAATTTTCTATTCTATTCTGCATACTGGATTATGAGAAAATTTGCCTGTTCACAGGAGACCAAGTATAAAAGAAGAAAGGACGGAATGTAATGGAAATTGGTAATGAAAAGGTAATGCAAATACAATTTGCAGAAAATGGAAAATGGAATATAACAAAATTTTGGAGGCGCAAAAGCAAATAATGGGGTTCGAAAGCAAGTTCAGCATAAAAAAATCTGAGATGCTAATACTGGAGAATGAATATTTCTCAATAAGGAATCCAGCTTCATTTCAGGCGAACGTATGTATTTGAGCATAATTATTACACTTACCCTTATTTTTAATGAACTAAAATTTCATGTTATAACTAAAAACTTACCGTTTATCTATTATCATTAAGAAATCTTTTCATCTAAAAACGTAATAATCTCGGATCTGACTTGACCGATTCGCGCACTGTATCTCTCAATTTATTATATTTAATAAAGTCCAACTGAGTTAGCAAATTTACCAGGATCGCTGCATCATCTTTGTGTAACTTAACTGCTTCGCAAATCTGTTCTGCTCCCTTGAACTTCGCTAAATAGACCAATGAGCAAAAATCAGTTAATAATGCAGTAACAAAAGCAATAATTGAACGATCAGATGGAAATGAGTCAAATCGTTTATCTGATAGCGTTGACAACAATGTTCCTGAATTTTTTCCGAAAATATTAGCGAAATTTTATAAAACTTTTTGGCAATAAATTACCAATGAATCAAAGACTGATTTAAAGTAAACCTATTATAATCATTTAAAAATTTATGTCTAAATAACTACTAAAATTAATTAATTATAATTAAATACGAATTGTTTCTAGATTTTATGAAGGTATCGATAAAATAATCAAACCATTATATTCCTTAGATCTTAAGCGATTTCCATTCATATCAAAAACAGCATCAACGTGTTCTGCCGACCAATGGGCTGATTGAAGACGCGATACACTTTGACCAAAAATGGAGCAAAAAGAAGGAATGCTGAAAAAAATCTAAATAATAATCCATAAATTATTTTATACAAAAAAATCCTAATGAAGTCCAATCTAATGAAACTACTGAAGAATTCATATTTTAAATTATTTGTTTTACTTTTCTCTAATAACAAATAATAATATCACTTCAATTATAAAATTTCTATAATCATCATAATCGTAATGGAAATAAATAATAACAATAACAATGATAATTTACTTCTTTTATAATATTAAAAATTTCTGTTATCATAACTGCAAAATTATATCTTTGACTAGATATGAGTAAACAGCCATTAAAGTCAAGCCATTTTACAAAATTTTAATCAATTAAAATTAATTTCTTTCTTTAAAATGGCGGTTAAATAATTCTAGCCTCTAAAGACGCTAAGATAGTTAAAAACATAGTTGAATACGTTACAAAACACGCTGCATAAATTTTTTATTTATTGAGAGAATGCAAATGAAAAGAAATTTAACCATGCAAAAACTAAAAACAATACTTTTCACCCTCACCGATCCAGAATGCATTATCATTTACTGCAGTTATATTTAACATAATCAATTTCTGCAAAAGATCCATAGCAGCAGGTTTGCGTTGATCTGAAGCGCATAGAGCTAAGCGTCCTCCACTCAATACTGGATACAAAATCTAATATAAAATAGGCATAACATTTTCATCGTATTAAATCATAATATTCAAAAATATAAATTACAAAATAAAATTAACAAATAATATTTAGATAAAATAAAAAATAAAACGAAATAATAATAAAAAATAAAAATAAAATAAAATAATAAATAATAAAATAAAATAATAAAAATAAAACAATAATAAAATTCCAATAAAAAAATATAAACAAATATTTTAAAAATAAAGAAATAAGAGTATATTGCCAATTTTTGAGGGTTTTTTTTCAATTATATTCATGAAAAATTTATAAAATAAATAAACAAAACTAATTGAAATGAAATGAAAATATTACTTGATCCAATTTATCAACAACTGCACGAAGAGTGTTTTCTCGATCACTATAATCATTCCCTTCTAACCTAAAAAAATAAAACTATTATTCAAATAGAATCGAGAAATTAAAAATTATATATCAAGCGAATTGAGAAAATAAATAAAAAAAAACAAAAGATTTTAAAAATAAAAAAATAATCATTATTTATTTTTGTAATTTATAAAATAATTTCTGTAAATATTTATTTTTATTTGAAATAATTTTATTTTATAAAATTATTTTATCGCTTTGAAATAATAAATACATAACCATTCAAAATTAGTTGAATTTGGCGTAGACATACAATAATTCTTTAAAATAAGTACTGCGCGATCACCACAGTAAAGCGACCCATTTCGACGTGTTTTATCTATTTTGGTGAACAGCTCATACGAATTGTTTATAGCTTTTATGAAGGTATTAAACACCTAAAAATTCTTGGAAATTTCATGTTTATATTTTTTTTTCTATACATTATTTTATACTTTTTGTTTTTTTTTAATACTGTTTCTTTTAAAAATCATACACAAGGCATTAAATGATTTATATCGAGCAAAGGAGCACTATATGGAGTGCCAAAAGCATTAAGCCACTCATTTAAACTTTCCATTGTGTGTGACGCGCACCCATCAATGCCAGCTTTTTTTCCAATTGTATTCAACACAATTTCAATTTTGGGTAATAGTTGACGCGCCTAGAAATTAGAGAATTTCTTAAATTAAAAGACTTGAAAAGAATTTAGCAAAATTTATCACATATTAAATTAAAAATCAATATATAAATCAAATAATCATAAGAAAGAAAAATATGGGTCAAAAAAAAATTATAAAAATCTGTTTACTTGCACTAGAAGCGATTCAATTCTTGTCAAAGTTGATGATTTTGTCATATTTAAGCTAGTGGATGAATTAGGACTAAGGCTTGCAACTGCGTCACAAAAATCAAACAATGCCGATGCATGAAACCTATGTAAAACTGAATTCAAAGCTAAAATTAAAATATTTCCTGAAAACGAAAAAATTCAAAACAAAAAAACCAAATAATGGTGATAAGCGATTAAATTTAATCAGATTCACGGATGAAATATGTGAAAAGACATTTTATTCTTGAAAAGAATGACATTGAAAATGAAAAAAAAAAATTACAGCGAAAAAAATAGAAAATCACATACTTGAACAAATTACGATTGCAGACAATGATAGGCGTGAATATTTCTTGGCAACGATTCATAAAAGACTTGAGAAGGGAAGAAGTTGGTTTTGATACGGACAAAAGTGCCAAACATATTGGACGCTAAAATCTAGGTAATTTGCTGTTTTAATTTTAATGCAGGCAATGCCAATTTATGTATTCACCTAACACTCTTTTGTTCCACATTACCTTGGCCTATCAGCAATAGCCTCCTAGATCCTCCATAATGTTTCAAATCTTATTCCAAACTTCTCTTCTCGATCCACTATACCTCTTTACACTCCATCTCATCACAAATCCCGTATATAAACTCCGGAGCTTTTGGTCATTTGGGATTTGTGGCAGCTGGGGAAGAAAAAAAGAAGAGCAAAGAGAGGCAAATGGATAAGAGGCAAGAGATTTGGAGAACCATGAAGAGGAGATCAAAAGAAAGAGAGTGCTCATATACGTCATGTATCATCATTTCATGGGCATTGTGCCCATTCCCTTGTTCTAAACCGCTATTTTTGTGCGCTACTTTCTGTATATATCATTTGCAAATAAATAAAAGTTTACTTAGCCAAGTTTAGGTCCTCTGCGTTCCACTAATTATTATCAAAACATTTCGCAATGAAATATTTAAAAGGGAACGCCTGGCTGCAATATTTGAAGATTTTGAAGAATTGGTGAACTGGTGACAGTTAAATTCAGAGTGGTAGACAAAATAATTTAAATTACGAAGGGAATCTCCAGAATTGACGCTGAAGAAATCTATCTACTGGAAATTCGACAGCCTCATTTTCGTACAATTAGCTTCCTTGTGCTATCTTCATTCCTTAAATATCATTGTAACCCCATAAAAATCTCAATTAGCACCTTATTAACCACAATGAATTCTTTTGTTACGAAGAATTGTTACCTTTCAAATGCTTCTCCAAAAATTAACCTACTAATACTTTTAATTCATTCGCACTCTATTTATACTCCTATTTATACTGCAATATTCTTTCATCTCGACTATTGGTAACATCATACCAAATCTTCACTATAATATATCCCATTTCTCTCTTAGTGTCAAATAATATATAGTAAAAAAAAACTAAAAAACTTCAACGATCAAACTTTGTTGCAACTATTTATTAATAAATTGAAAGTAGAAAAAAATAACTGAATTTAAAAAACTTAATTAATCAAAAAGATATGAATTACCTGAAAACCTCGAGCCCGAATATCAAGAAGGATTGAATGATATATACAAGCATAGAGAGCTGTCTGCTGATTGTATAAAAGCACAGTGGATCCCTGGACACTTTCGGAGCTCATTAGCCAAATCGCTATGTTATCAAGATCAAGATGTGGAAAAGAATTCGATGGATAACAATGCAATGGCCTTGGGCCTTGTATCTAAAAGACTGATTTTTTCTTCTTTAATCAGCATTCATAATTTCTGGCTTAACTGCTCTTCAATGATTATTAAGATAGGATTCCTTGGCCAGAGAGTCAAAGGAAGAATTAAACGCATGCTATTTAACCTTAAAGGAAACAATAAATTACTCAATCAACTTGCTATTAGTTAAACGATAGCCATTTTTGAACAATTAAGCAAAATGAGACAAAAGTAAGTTAATTTAAAAAGGACAAATCAAAAAGAATCAATTAAAAAGAAAAAATATTTAAAAAAATTACAAATCATCAAAACTATTTTATAGCTCTTATAGTCTTCAATATAATTTTTCAAGAAATGGGAAAATAAAATAGAAGATTTATAATAATAATAACAATAATAATACCTGACAAAATTCGACAAGCAATATAACTGGTTTCTGACAGCAACTAACACGGTTCCATGGATCCACTCTGCGCTTTCCCCAAGTTATACATTCATCAATTATATCCATCTAAAAATCCTATGAATTAATATACATAGAAATATAATTATATTTTATTCATAGATTTATTCATAAATATGACGAGTCAATTGATAAAGCCTCTGGAAAGATAATAGAATAACCGCGTCCCAGATAAGACTATCCGACTTGTTAAGGAATGCTATCCTCTTTTCGACCGTTTTCAAATGTATGCGATAGATTAGGTTTATGGATATAGCTTGCTGGCATGCAAAACATCGGCAAAACATTCCAATGCTCGCAACAATACGCAATATATTTTAGACATTGCAGATAAACGAGGCCTTTACATCAATGTAAATAACACAAGAAGCTGATAAGATCGCAAATCGGTCCAACAAATATTAGACTTTAAAATTATCTTAAAATTATTTTCATGTTTTAATGAATAGCTAGGCGAAGAATGAATTAACATCAACATGAACCGCTGCAGTTAGATCAGCCTTTTCTTCTTTCTGGCGTTCCTTTCAAATCGCCTTGAAATTAATCAAAATCAGCCAATGAAGAAAAAATACAAATGAATATAGGCTTAGCGACCAAGCGATACTCCTATAGCAGAATGCGCTGTTAAATGACATCCCAATTTTAATTTCAATAATTTTATCTATTATAATGGTGATTTTCAAATCTTTACTAAATTGACTACCAATACAAGGAATTAATAATTTCTAAATTAACAATTTTATCATTATAAATTTTATATTTATTATTATTCTAAATTTCTAAATTTTATTCTTAAATTATTTAATTTGATAAGATCAGTTTATCAACTGCATTCAATTGTTATAAATCATTGTTTACCACTCATCTTTTATCGCTAAAAATCGTAAAAAAAGTATTCTTACCACTTTAATTCAGAAAAAATTAAATAATCGAAAATTAGAAAAAATAATAAAAATTGGAATTTTTAAGAAGATATCCCAACCTCTATGAATTAAATATTGTTAACACAAGAGTTTAAGGAGAAAATCTATTAACCACAAATTCCATCCCACTCATCCCCGCACCCCCCCCCCCTCTCCCCACCCCCAACACTTTTCTCTTGAAAAACGAGGAAAACTGCAAAAACAAATTGTTCTCAGCTGACAATCCAAGATACTACTAACAATCGGTTTCTCGAATTTATTTAAAAATATAGCTGCGGCCCGTACAAGAAGTGGCCGCTCGTACACTTTTTTTGTTTCAAAAAAAATTAGTGATTATTCTCGTTGAAAATTTTCTTTATAATTTTATCTGGTAGATAGCGTCACCAAAAGGTTGGACTCCTCTTTTAGAGTAGTGAATCCAGAGGAGATCTGAACAAAAGCATCACCTCGATTTTTTAAGGACGGGTTCAGTCCTGCGCGAATCGAGCATTGGCGCTCCCAATTGAGGCACAACCCACTGAGCCATTCTATCCCCATCAGTTATTGTTATTAATTTTTATAATTATTATTAATTATTATTATTAACCATGTTTTAGGTAGAAAGTCATAAATAATCGTGTTTTATTATCAGAAATGCCCTATTCTGTTATCAGTTAAGATAGGTCTGTTGATATGATAATTTAGTTTCATTTCTCGTTTAAACAAATAAATATTTAACAAACATTAAATAAATATTGAAGCTATTGAATAAAAAAAAATATTTAACAAATATTAAATAAATATTGTTCGTTATAAACAGAAAATTTTTGAATAAAAATACTGATAAGGCAAGAACGCTATAAATAGCTGATGAAAATGATTCCTCAGCCAGTGATTGATAAAAATTGAATTTCTTCTTTTTTTTGTGGGGGGAGGGGGGAGGGGGGCAAATCGTTTCACTTATTGCGCATTATGATAAATTATATTTGTCTAAACTGTACTTTATATTTCATTCATTATAAATTTTAGAAGTGATAAAATGAGAGTGATAATCGAAAAGAACGATGAAAAAGTTGGTGAAATTGCCGCATTATATGTTATGAAGAAGATCAATGAATTCGAGCCACAATCGAATAAATATTTCGTTCTCGGTCTACCAACTGGTCGGCTAATTTTTTTGTATGCTAAATCATTTTATCATATCACATTATCACTTTAAATACCTATAACTCCGAAATCCGAGTCAATCTGGACACTTTTCTTTGTTATTGATCCTAAAGGATTGTCTAACGAAAATACATCTCAACCTAGAAGCCAGTTGAACTAGAAATATTATATAATATGATTAGAAAAAATAACAAATTATAAAGTAAATCATTTTATATTATCTTATTATGGTTACTATGAATTATTGTTAAGGTTAATCTTATCAATAAACAGTTTCGATATTTAATATTTTAACGAAGGTTTAATGCGAGAATTGCGATATCTATCATCTATCTGATTTTAATTTTAGGAAGTACTCCGTTAACAATGTATAAATATTTAATAAAATTCTATAACGAGGGGCGAATTTCATTTAAATTTGTGAAGACATTCAATATGGATGAATATGTTGGTGAGTTGTTTAAATATTATTTATTATTATTAAAATTATGGATATTTCAAAATTATGCTTTCTTCTCAAATGTCTTTATTTTCATTATTTTTCCTCTTTCTTTTCATTGAATGTAAAAAATGGTTTTTAAAAGAATTTGATTGCGAACGAGAAGAATGAGAAGAATGAAAATATTTAGGTGCGCAAATCACCTCATTAGAATTTGCTTTTACACAAAAAATTTGCTAAATTTTTGAAAATAATATTTCATAATTTGAATAATTTGAAATAATTTGAAATTAGGTTAGGTTTGGCTCGTGATGATCCACAAAGTTATCACTCATTCATGTATGATAATTTTTTTCGTCATATTGATATCGATCCGAGAAATGTTAATATACCCGATGGTAATGCTGATGATTTGACTGAAGAATGTGTGAAATATGAAAAAAAAATTGATGAGGCTGGTGGAATTCATCTTTTCATTGGAGGTTCACTTTTAAAATATTTTCTTAGAACTTTTAGTAATTGATTATATAAATTATAAATATTGTTGAAAAAAGTTTCAGGTGTTGGATCAGATGGGCATATAGCATTTAATGAACCAGGAAGCAGCCTGAATTCAAGAACAAGAGTCAAATCACTCGCTTATGAAACTATTATGGTTTTTAAATTGTTATTCATTAAATATCTTTTTTTAACGAATTTTCTTGATTTTTTTCAACTTTTCAAGGAGCTAATATAAATGAAGTAAATATGAACCTTAAAAACTTATTTATAGTTAATATTTATTGGTGAGAGGAGATATATAATAGTTTTTTGAGCAAATAGTTGGTCTGAAACTACAAAAAAATACTCAAGGAATTCATAATATAAATCGAAATACAATCAAATGAATAATTAAATTCGATTTTTTTTGTATTAGGAATTTCTTGGTTACCCGATGGGTGTATTAGGTTCATAGGTCGCTTCTATTACCAAATACAAGAAATTCTTCTTTTAACAGTTTTCACCATTATGGTTAGGTTGGCTCTGCTGGCTATACGGGCAAGGCATTTCCAAGTTGCGCGATCTGATGCCCCAATCAACAGTAATCCATTCATTTTTCCATTGACTAAGTCCATATATTGCTGGTCCATCTGATTACGTTCAAAATCTTTCCTGACTATATCATTCCAGATCTTTATTGGCCCATCTCGCTTTTAACGCCAACCATCATGGGGTAGGTAGCGAAATATAGCGAAATATGCATCAGCTCCTGTAGTAGACGACAGAGAACGTGCCTTAAACAGCGAAGGGTGTTAATGCTTTGTGATAACATTATTAATACAGATGGTACTGAAACGAAGATGGATACAATCATGTGCGATTTTATCCGCTCGAGGAATCCGTAAAATGTGTCTTTGACATGAGTGGTCAAAGGCTGATGGCTTCTTAATATCTTCCACTCTCCTTGGCCATTTTTCACGGCCATATAGTAAGATCGAGCGAATTTCAGCGAATTATATATGGACATGGATTTTCATCTTTATGGTAATTTCGCGAATGTCTCATAAAGATTTCGTCCAATGGAAAAAAAAGCTGTCGTTATCCGGCTTATGATTTCGTCTTTTGCCTGGTCATTTAGGATTAGAGTGAATCTAAGGTATTTCCTCAACCGGCAATGAGTTGATAAAAATAGGTATTTTATCATATAAATAAGGCGAAAATACTTTCATTTTATTTATACTGATTTTGAGTCTAATTCTCGCTCCAGTTCTTGGCACGTTGATGTTTACAATTATTTGCATTTCGTCATAAGTGTCAGCAAAAAGGACTACATCATCAGTATATTCAAGATCTGTAATTCGTGCTCCGGATTGAATTGTACATCTTTTTGATGCCCATAAGCGGTGTCCATTATCCAGTATATCGTATAGGTTAATATTGTAGGACATTAAGTCAATGAGAACCTGACCTTAACCCTTTTATCATAGAGTCACTCATTCATAGAGTCATTCACTTATGGGACAAGATACGAGTGGGTCCTCAGCAGCCATCCCGATTTTTGGTACCATAGCAAGTTTACTCCTGTCAAAGACAGAAAGATAATTAAATATAAAGATATAAAGATAATTAATAAAGATAATTAATTTTTAAAAAAATAGAATTTTATTTAAAGGTTATTAAAAACTTATGTGATTCGATAGTACTATTACGTAATGATAATGGTATCTAGTAGTAATAGTAAATTATAAATCAATTTTAAAATAATGGTGGTAAATTGATAAATATTGTTTTTTAATGCGAGAAATTAATAAGCTGTGTTTGTATTTTAATAAAAATTGCAGGCGAATGCGAGATTTTTTATGAATGACACGTCAAAAGTGCCTAAACAAGCAATAACTGTTGGTATTGGAACCATAATGGATGCAAATGAGGTTATAAATTCATTTCTTTAAATATAAATTTTAATTTATTACTGCAAAATTACTAGAGTACCTCTGCCTATTTTACCTATTATTTTAACCCATTTCCAAAGAAACTACTAAATTTTTCAATAAATAAGAGGTTGGATCTCATTTTGCTATCATTTTATGAAGTTATTTGTAGAATAATTAGAATAATTACAGGTAATGATACTAATAACTGGAAAGCATAAAGCATTAGCAGCAAAACATGCAATTGAAGGTCATATTGGCCATACATGGACAGTGGCAGCACTTCAGTTGCATCCAAATACATTATTTATTATCGACGAGGCGGCATGCTTAGAAATGAAATTGAAAACCGTAAAATATTTTGAAGATTTATCGGAAAACATTGTTAAAATAATTAAACAACAATGGTAAAATTTTTTTGTTGCATTTTTTTTAGGTCATTTCATTCGATAAGATTACTTATGGTATTCATTCCTTAAAATCGTTTAGAATCTTGATAGAATTCCTAAAACCAAGGGATTATTTTTTCTCAAAATATTGCTTTAATAAATTTTTCTTTTCTTTTTATTTAAATAATTACTGAAATTGTTGGAGAATATTTTCTTTTTTTTCCTTATATTTTTGTAGTTCCGTGGTGGTCTAATCAAGTATAAAATTAAAACATATTGTATTATTTTATTTTCAATTTACTCCAAAAAAAATATTTTATTTGCGTTAGTTCAGAAAAATTTGGCATCAAAAGTCAAGAGGGCCAATAAAAATCTGTTGCAATACAATCGATGATCGACGATTTTGAAGGCAAAAGTGGTCTAATGAAGCCCAGTGAACTTAGTAGCTAGGAAATTTTTTTTTGCGCCTTCTTTTCCTAATAACTTGCCATCTTTATTGGTTAAGCTGGACTCATTGTAAAAAATTTATTTTTAGTTCAGTTACAGATCCCATGTCAGAAAGTTCAGGAACTATTTCTTTTTGCATCGCTTATTCTACCTGGTATCATCGTTTCTGGTTTTGTTTGTTCCTTCATGATATTGATTGGTAATGAGATTTAGGTTAGTTTTAAGAAGGAACACATTATTAGCGTGGCACACTGGCAAATGGTATTAGGATTAAAATAGACGAGATTTTATCCACTGGGCAGTGAAATTTGGACTCGAAGTATGGAACATCCTAATTAGTGTCCATTAGTGTACATTCGTTTAGAAGCGCATGTTCGTTGACAAAAATTTCTAATTTCAAGAGTCTAACAAAATCCACTTAGGCTTTCGCACCCATTAATATAATCTGGATATTCACTACCTGCGCCAGGTAAGTGGCAAAGACCACAAATGTGTGGGCATTTTGCTAGTGGTGTTTTTTGAAAACGAAGCCTTGCATAGTTCTTGCGTTACACTTTCACAATCACCAACTTATGGCAAATAACCATTCTCGAATTGAATTGCTTCATTTTGCAACAAATTGACACATGTGAGGACATAATTGTTCCAAAAATTTCAAGCGTGGTTCTTGGCATTTATTGCTTATTCTATAGTTCTTTTTTTGAAAATGACCGTTCTAGAAAACCCCGTAGCAATAATTTTGGAAAAGCCAAACGAAGCCATCTCCCTCTGAATAATTAATTAAATTAAAAAATGAAATTATATTACGAGTTCTTTTCGCCAAATTCGACCTAGTGTACTCAAAGCAAATATAGTCACTCCAATCTGCGGGATATGCATCAGGATCGAGACCGAAACATAGGTTAGGATCGATAGTTGGACATTGTACGGGGACTTTAGCTCCTGGCGGTAAAATCGTTTTATTGCATATTTTAATTCCTATGTCAATCGTAGCATCAACCGAGAATAAGAAAGAAGAGAATGAAATAAATAAATTGCATCATTATCAGCAAATTGGAGTGATAAACAAATAAACAAATAAATTAAACCGGCTATTATTATTCATTTCATTTTTATTTATAGTTTTAATCAAAAAAAGCTTCCGTAAGATGTCTCAGTGGGTTTTTGCTCAATTTGGAGCGCCGATACTAAGGTTCTATTACACGCAGGAGCAAAAATTTCCAAAAATCCGGGTGATGCTGGCGACTCACCTGTTTCCATCGCCAAAGGACTCTTTGACTCATTTGTCCAGTGCGACAAGCCAGAGTAGCGAGTTTAACCGGCAATAGTGATGAAGACTCTTAAAAACAAATTTTTTTTTATCAAATGATAACAATTACACTGAACTTTTCATCATCAACTATTTGTTCAATTTTATGGAACTATTTGAAAAAAAAAAGAAAAAACCATAAAATTTTTAAAAAACGAAACTCTACATATGTCGTCGTCAATGGATGTGGTTGATAATCAAAAAAAGCTGATCACAATCATTTTTACGATTTTATTGATAAGCTAAATCTAGCTAAGCTAAATTGGAATTCAGGTGATTTATTGATATTATATTTCCGACACTTATCGATTATCAGCTGTTTATGAGCACTGCGGCTAGTAAAAGGCGAATTATGTTTTGACTGTGATTTCATGGCGAATCATGGAAAATATTTGCCCGGAAATCCTACCTCCAAATGTGGCTAAGTGGCCTGGTATTTCATTTTTTGCTCGGTTATTTGGCGTAAGAATAAATCCAAGATGTTTAGAATAAGGTCAATGCGTTAATTGTACCTTAGGTACAAGCCGGAATGATTTTGTAAGAAATGGTAAAGAAATGGTACTTAAGCAACTCATTTCGAATAATTTCAAGATCCCCCACCCTCGTGAAAATAAATCAAAATTTTTTTCTTAAAGAAAATCTAAAATAGGCATTGAAAGGACTCTAAAATAGAGTTGAGAATTAAAATATCGAAAATTAAAATATTAAAAATATTGAGATCAACAAGGTGTTCGAGTTTAGATGAATACGGAGAGATAAGCAAAACCCAGAGTGAAATTCAAGCCTAACTTATGTGACGAAAGATATGATAGGGAATCTTTCGATATCAGCCATATCATTATCGTTAAACCTTTTTAAACCTTTTCCCCACATTTTATTATCACCGAATTCAAATGATAAATTCGAATTTTTTTCTTTTTGTTTTAAGAATTTTATTCAAAAAATGAAATGAAATAAAACAATAAAGAAATATCTAAATAAAAAATACAATCTTATCAGAAAATACAAATGTATAAGAAAAAAAATAGACCAGAAAAAGCAATAAAAAATTTTTTTAACAAAAAATTAATCACAAATGGCCACCAACTCACCAATCAAAAATTAATAATTAAATCTCCATATTCAATAATAAAGAAGAAAGAAAAGAAAATGTATACCATTAAAAAAAAACGTACAAGCATGAGAATTTACAAGAAGAATCTTTTAATAAAAAAAAATGAATCGCTGATAATTCAAGCAGTGATTTTTTTGATAAGCAAAAAAAGCTAGAATCACCAATCAACCACCTTTCGTATTCATATTGAGCCATAAAAAAAAGAAAGAGCCTTTATCTGGGTCGTTGATAGTGTTGATTAAGCTAAAAACATTAGAAGGATTCATAAACTAATTTAGGAAAAAATCGACCTATCAAACTTAATTAAGTTGGAAGAATTATAATTTCACGTTTAAATGCTGAGGTAAATATGTAAAATTTCTCGCAAACCCTCAACCCCCTCCCACTCACTCCTTTCCCCTTCTTGGTTCCTCAATATATGTTTCAAAATAAATTTCTCCATTGTAATCTCATTTAGTCGTTTAGGAAAAAAAGGCACTAAAAACTAGCAAAAGAAAAGCAGAATAACTGAGTTGAAAAAAAAAGATAATAACAGTAATGTGATACCTCGTTGAAATAACCATGATAAATGAAAAAAATGATAAAAGGAAAGTGGAATGAAGGGAGAAAAATTATAAATTTTCGATAATAATAATAGGCTTTCTTTTTTCTTTTTACTAAAACCTTAAATTCTAAAAATAAAAAATTAAATAAAATGGAAAAACAAAAGGGAAAATAAACTAATAATTCTAATTATAAGAAATAATAGAAAGCGAGATCGCCCCGAACAACAAGAAAAAAAAACAAAAAGAAACAACAAATATTTCATGAACGAAAATTATCTCAAAAGTCATGTGGACTTTGTGATCAACCAGGAGCAGGTGGCACCTGCCCAAACACATTTGACGATGCAGTTTGCACAGCGCTAGCACCGACGATTTGTCTCGATGATAAAGCGAAGAATTCTTGTCAAAAAACATGTGGATTAAGGACTTGCTTAGGTAAATTTAACTTTACTTAAGTATGGTTTTGGCCAATGGACCAAATCTGCAGTGAAAAACTATTAAATTATTAAATTACTATTAAATTATTTGAACTGCTATTTCATATATCAACTTATTATTTTTCATATATAACTTATTATTCTGAATACTCGGTGAGAATACCGTAGTAAATTGTCGCTGATGATTAAGCGTTTCAGAAAATCAAAATGCAACAGCAGCACAATCAAACTGTCGCGACGACGACCAGCAATGTTCAGAAAATAGAAAATACTGCACCATAGAACCTTATGCAACTGTAATGAGAAGCAAATGCCGTTTAACTTGCGGCCATTGTCAGCCATAAAGAAACTTCCTACATGAAATTGTCTCGACCCTTGATTTGTGTTAAAATGGGAAAAATTTCCCAAATGTTCAGTAAATTTGAAATAAATTTTCTTCTGTAATATGGCTTCGACATCATCATTCATGTTTCTGGAAACATATCGATTAGCTTTCTGGTTCTTTGCGAAGCGATATTCAAGAATCGCAAAATAAAGTCTTAATAGGATTCTAATACATTAACAAGAAATTTGGCTTTTTCCTGGACTTAGATTCTACGAGTCTCAACCATTTTTGCCCATTTCTTTCAAATTAATATATATTTACCTATCGCTCTAAAAAGCTAAATAATCCGTCTAGGTTTCCATCTTTGGCTCTCAAGCTCAACCAAAAATCAACATTGTTCTCTTTGACATGTATCTTTTATGATGAAATATTTAGAAGAATAAAGAATAAACCACATTAAAATGGATGATAATAAATAACCGATAATAAAAGTTCCATCTTGGACCCAAGTCTAAGTCAAAAAAAAATAAGAGGAAAAAGAAATAAAACATTTGTTCAAAAAAAACAATAATGGAAGGTAAGGAGGGCTATGTGAGCGCCATTCCAAAAACTACCGTTCGATTAGCCTTTATTACCCTCAAATCAGCATAAATTTTGCGAAACTCTTTTGCTCTTGCATATCAGACGTAAATTCGTCAGTCATAGAGGAAATATCGAATTATAAGTATCCACTCATCCCCATATACTTCTTGTGGTGATAGGTAAAATATTTCAGAGGTATATTCTCCCATCTGGGGAAACCTCACTGGATTCGCCATGAAATCTGCCTGTAGTAATCTTGCTAG